GAAAATGATTCTAAATGGACCCACAACTTGAGAACTTGATCTCCTGGAATCTAAAAATCCAATTTGCCATTGAAAAACCAACCAAAAAAGTCGTATAAACAAAGTCGGATGTAACATGATTTAACCAACATTTCAGGGAGTCAGGTTTCATGGAGCAACAGGCCGAAGCGGCCGAAGAAGGCAAGGTTTTCGCAAGCTTTTCACGCCACGTCTGAAGAAGTTAGCCCAAGATCCCCAGTGAAGGTTAAGTATTATAGGAAAAGAAATGAGAATAGGATCTAACTATGAAAAAAACTCATAGGATTTAACTATAAACAAATCCTTGTTGTGGGCATGGGTCAACATTATCACCCCAAAATCGCATGCACTAGAATCTTCTTCGACATTGTGGGTCCACTGGCAGCCCCATTTTTACCAATTTTTACCACTACCCATCCAATTCCCCTAGAACAAGCTTCAATGGGCCCATTCAAGTGTAGAACAAAACTTGATGTAGTGCACGAAATATTTCGCGCCATTTTTGGGAGGACAAACTTCTGGATTCCCTTCATAGGCCTTTTTCAAACATCGACATCTTACGATCTTTGAGGCTCCCCCAAGGCCTTGGCAACTTGGGCTGGGCCGTGAAACCGAGGCATATACACCAAGCGCCCCCGTGGGGATCCGTAAGGACTGGGGCTGGTGAAGCAACGAATGATCAGCGTTGTGGGTTGCGGAGTTTTTAGAGGTTAGAAGCAGAAGTTGACGATTCATGAATATAACTACTATAGTATTTCTATAGTATTGACTATAGTTATAATATTCACATAAAATCACAATATTCATAGTTAATAGATTATATCTATAGTATTTCTATAGTACATATATAGTTAATATACTACTATAGTATTTATATAGTATAGTACTATAGATTAGGTAGTGGGGTGCATATCTTCGAACAGTCAGAGAACCCGCCCGTTGCACCAATTGGTTTTCCAAAATGCTCGCTGGAAAGGTGGCTGAACACTCCTCAAAGCCATCGAGCAGGATAATATATATATATATGTATAATTATATATATATGTATGTAGATAGACATTATCTATCATGATCTATGATTTATCTATGACATAGAATCTATGAAAATCCATATGAATCTAACTTGATTCTTGATGTCGTGCCCGAGGTCTGGCCCAGGCAGTGGGAGAAGCCGTGCAGTGCCTTGGATGCAGTGGTACCTATGATATATCTACCAGGTATATCTATAGTAGGCATCTATGATTCATATTAGGTATATGGAAGATAAGATTATAAATATAGGCATCCATGTTTTTTGGTTTACTGTATGTATTGGTATATCATATATCTATCTTGGTAGTGTATCTATATTAATTATGATGTATACACAATATCATCAGTTTTTCAAGATATATCTATCAGTCATCATTGATTATGCATCTTTTAAAACATGGAAAACCGGCAGATACATGAATCAATGAATGTGCCAATTATAATGGGATATGTTCTGAGGATGTAATGGAGATACAATGGGGATATTTTATGGGATATATGACCAACAATATGTTTTGTTTGTTGTGGTCTGCGCGCCTGAACATGAGGAAAGTATCATCCAATCTACTTTTATCGGAAAATGGTTAGTCATGGGTACCTCATTTTCTGACAAACCAATCTTGTACATTAGAAAATAGTGACAAGGGCAACCAAAATGAGTTACCACAATTATGGAGTTGAGATATGTGACGATACTCAACCTTATATAGAGTCTATATATAGTCTATAGTAATCACTCCAAAAACAGCTTCGGAACATGCAACCTTTTTTATCCCGCTATTTTCCGTGGGATTTTTTTCTTTTTTTGGATGGGAAAGCATCCACGATGGAACTTTCAGCGGCTGGGAAAGGCTGGGTTTAGGGCTGGTTTAGTTTCACCCATCCGACGATAGATACTATAGATCACTATCATATCCACATTTTCAAGCATACTTGGCCTAGTTATACACCAACTTATCTATCGTGGGCTCAAGATTGGAAGTGGATGATGAGCCTTTACTTGCCTAGTAATGTTTTGGGATGCAGCTCAGTTACTAACCAGTCGACCAGTTCCATGACCTATTCGCCCCCGAGGTTTCGTCGATGGGAAGGCCAAGTGTTTTTTGTGTGTGGAGGTTGGAGGGACGGCAAAACAAAAGGGCTAAGCGTAGACCAGAGCAACATAGTTTTATACCAAAGTACCAAACTATGGGCATCTATAAGGATATTGGGATATATTTGGCGAGATAGTAGAGATAGCTGACAGAATTTGTCCACTGGGAGCTTTGAAGCAACAACATTGCAGTTGGACCAGGAAAAATGGAGTTGGACCAGGTGTTGGTCCAAAAGAGGTGAAGACATGAAGGTCTCACACTTTTTGTCTCAAGGATTAAAGGTTTTTTTTGGATCTAACATCCCACCTACCAGGAGCTCCCAAAGGGTACGCAGCGCTCGAAATTAAATTTAGCTTCCGTGACCCGTTTATCATTCGTTACAAAATGGAAGATCATTTGCAAATAATGCATTCGTTTATAGCAACTTAGGATCCACTGATCCACCATCCCCAATTTTATCCATAGTGGATGGGATTCCAACCAACATTAATGGGTGGTTTGAATGACATTACGAGAGTCTCGGAACCCAACGATTCTTCGCCGGGATAGGCCACTTAGGCCACATTGGATCTTAGGCCGCTTCCGGCCATTGGATGGCCATGGATGATACAGTGAGAAAAATATATGGACAAATCCTAGGTCAATTACAATCTTCCAAGATGTCCAAATTATATTTTTGTGGCAAATTCCAATCTTCCATATACATTTTCTTGAGGTGAATGTACATGGACATCCGACAGCTTTGCCTGGAAATAGGCCTTGAAACCTCGTTTTCCCGAAGTTGCCGTAAGCTGATTAAAAAGAAAGACAACACGCCCAAAATCATCATTTTTAACTGTCGTGTATCCAATATCCCGATGATATGAAGTTTGCATCCCTATGAAAGATATCCACCATTCCCACATACCCATTGCATCCACATCCCACATCACACGAACATGTCCAGAAAATTCCATCACTCACTTGACCCCGTTGATTGTGGAGTATCACTGTAGTTACATCCCCATACCAAAAATATCAATATACATACACACTTTTTGCGTTTTTTTTTGTGTAGAAATATATCCCATACACTCATCCCGGACTACCTTTTTGTTTCGGAAGGATGTTCAATACAGGATGGGATTATATATACATATATATATGTATGTATATGTATATACATATATATATATTTATAGATAGATAGAAATATTCCTTAAAATTGGTCTAGTTTTACATTATATATATATTGTATGTGCATGGGCATAGATATATTTCCTAGACTTATTCCATCGGCTATATACATAGATTATTCCATTTTTTTAAAAATATTTTTTCAGATTATATCTGTATCAAAATATAATCCTATCCCTCTACATATATAATCCCATACCCCAGATTATATATGGGGATGGGTCAAAACCTATGATTACCACATGACTGGGGGAATAACCATCCATTAACCAGCTGTTTTAGTGTCCCTAGGGTACCAGGGTTTATACAATATCTATGTATATACATACATACATACATACATACAGACAGACAGACAGACAGACAGACAGACAGACATACATACATACATACATACATAATATGTATATATAGTGTATATATAATATCTATATACATAACATATATATATACACTGTAAATATATACAGTTTTTTCAGAGAACCTCTTCTCATTTTTTGTCCGAGGTCTTAGGCACAACACCCAGCACGGCACCTGCGCGGGGATGCCAAATTTTTTCGACGCGCGGCCTATTTTTCTCTGGTTTGGAATGGTATAGAATGGGGAATCACATAGGAATGATGAATAATAGGTTATAATTTTATATCGTGAATATTTATTGCCAATTTTTGGAATGGTATATGATAGTTATATGGTGAATATTGATGACTCATTGGTAATAATGGATTGGGAAAGTACCCTCTGTTGATTTGTTACAGTTTGCGAACTCGAAGCCATGGCCATTGACTTCGTTGATTTAGCCAGCTAGAAAATGGTGATTTTCCAGAGTTATGGAAACGTTTCCAGAGGGTATACCCCAATTTCATCCCCATTTTAACCATAGGAAACAAAGGAATTGGGGGCTTTTTGATTATATAAACAAATCTAATTTGACTAGAGGAAAAAAAACGATTTGAACTGCGCGACAATCCCATTTTCCTCATAGGAACATTGAATTTTTGACCACGGCGAAAGTCCAAATTTAATACAGTATATAATGGAAATAAACAATTTTGACAATCGTAAAATCCATGCCATGTCCAACCATGTGGATATCCAAATTTGACCATGGGGAAATCCAATTTTGACAATGGACTCCCACAGGTAGTATATAGTAACTACAACAGATGGAATTTTTGGGGATGTGGAACTACATCCTTCTACCCAGCACAGATTCGTTTCCCCCCGAAACTCGATGTCAGCGAGAACTGCATTCTCCAACAATGATTTACCCTCAACCAATGGCAAGTTTCATATGGCAAATGATGATGCGGGGATATTTCAGGTGTGATTCTTTGGGACATTTTTTTCTGGTCCCAACATGATCATGGCGTTTACCAAGGATGATCTCACCATCCAGCTTTACCTCTTGGAAACACCAGGAATCACCAGGATACATGACGGGATCACCGGGATTCACCAGTATGAAATCCATGATTGACTCACCATGAAATCCCATGGAAATCACCATGAAATCCCCCAATTTTGGATGCTGATTTAATGGGCTTTCATAGGATTTCATGGTGATTTATTGGGATTATGATGATTTACTGGGATTTATTTCCACATGAATTCAGCGTAATCAATTTACCCATTGGTTTACCACGCAGGGGAAAGAAGTCCGCCGCTAGGTTTAGCTGA